AGCCCTCGAACCGCGCGATACGCTCGTTCTCTCGCGTCGGGATTCTCCTCGAAAGCGCATTACCGCTCGAGAGATTGAATCGTCAGAGATTTACGTGGACCGCGATCGCGGAAAGGCAGGCGGACTCGATAGTTCGAACGGCAGGGAAGCACGCAACGGGAGTATTTCGACGAGTTCGTCTTCACGGCCGAGAGATAAGATCCGAATCGGGGACGGGTTTGCTCGACTTATACGCGAAACGTAAATTTTCTGCCGAGATAAGATCGGTCGTAACCTATTTCCGGCGAGGCCGATCCTCCGTTTCCTCCACGAACGATTTCGCCCGCGGAAAGATTATTGCTCGATCCGTGGAATTTAACCGTTCGAAGAGTTACCGCTACTCGATCTCCTCCGCACGCTTCTCTCTCGACTATCGAAACAGCGTGACGCATAAAAATGTCCGTCGATCTCGGTGATCGGCTTTCCGGCGAGCGTGGCAGTCACGGGGGACGGCAACGATATTATATCGTGAACGATCGAGTCCAGGTGATCGTCGAGCTCCTCCGGAGAGGTAGCGCGCAGGTGTGCGTGAGCGCAGGAGGCGAAATCGTAATCTTAATCGCCTCGGAGTAGCCGCTCGTCTCGGATCGGGCAACAGGTTCCCCCCTCGCGCGCGCGATTCAATCGTGTCTCGGCTTCTATACGCGCGAGAGCCGACCTCTCACGAGCGTACGGTAAGAACAGGCTCGTTACGTCACTCGTCCATTTCCTTCGACGACCCCGGCTATTGATTTATCGTCGAACCTCGTTCCTTTCGTTCTGTCGGTGGATACGCGCGCGCTCGGACCGATCGTCTCCGATTAGAGGAACGCATTGTGCTCGAGCGGAATCGGGACACACCGGCTGCATCGACGCGAGATCCCGCGGAGAAAGTCTTCTCCCTTGCGCAAGAGTAATTGGAAATCGAGCCCGAGGAACGCCGACGATCCTTCGAAAATTTCCGCGTCGATTTTCCACGGGACGAAACGTCGCGTCGGCCGAAAAGACTTCCCAATTTTTTCTCCGTCGCATATCGATGCCCGACTACGCGAGCTCTCCTATTTGAATAATATGAAAAATCGAGGTCTTCCCTCTCGATAGCGGAGAACGAAGAGGCAGGCGGGCAGGAAGGAAGATAGATAGAGGGATAAATGGAGAGAACGCGGTAGATGAACGGATATACGGCGAGCCCGTGGGAGAGAGGGAGAGACGAGCAACGGGGAAAGGAACATAGAACTCGGCAGAGAAGAAAGATGCACGATCGCTGGAGTGAGTTAGGGCCGACGGGCAACGCTATGCATACCGTCACACCCAGCGACACGCTCCAAATTTGAAATTTAAATTCGGTACGTCTCATGGGACCGCGTCGTACACCGGTTACTCACACGCGCGCGTTCCTACGTACTCGCGAGAGTGCGTCTAGGGTGGAAAGGGATCGAACAACGAGGGTAAGAAACTACGAAGAAAAGGTCGATCGGACGACGGATACGTCACCGTTTTCACGACGACCCGTTCGTTCGTTTCCTCTTTCGCGTATACACCCTCGGGAATAGTAATTCGACACCGATCCTACAGCTCCTCCTCTCGGAGCAAACTTTAGTAATCTCCTCGTTCCTCCTTCTAACGCGATAAACCGGGAGCTATCTTCGATTTGCCGTCGATATCATCGTTGCACCGATAATTATCGCTTCGAAAGTACGGAACGGTTTCGCGGATCGGCTAAATCCTCTTGACGGAACGTAGCTATCCCGAAAGTTTATCGAAACCGAGGTGGCAAGAGGGACTTAGGTCTTGCTTCTCGAGTCGGGTTGCACGGCGATCTCGAACGTATACAGAGTACTTTTTGAGAGGGCTCGAATTAGGCCGGCGTACTGCAAAGCCCATTACACGCTATAAGAGGACCGGCTCGAGTGGTTACGGTCCGAGGATCGGTTCGCGAGAATTCAGGGATAACTTCGCACATCCATTCCTTCTCGTCCTAGCACGAACAAATTCCCCGGTCGTTCATTCGATCCGTGACACTCTTGATCGAATGAAACCGAGGAAGCTTAGAGTATTAGCGCGCAAAACGTGGTCCGTGAACGGTCGGCGCAGCCGATAGCTCGGAGACACCGGGATTAGGAAAAACGAGTTTGCGAGCGAATCGATCGGGTGAACAGATAGGAAGAGGTTGTAATTTCGAGGCTGATGCACGGTAAAATTTAGCCACGGCATTATCGCGTTCCGAGGTTATTCACGGGGGACCGCGAATCCCCTTTGAAAGAGGCGGGAAAGCTGCAGCGAAAATTCGACGGGGCTAGGTAGAAATGGCAGGCAGGTAGAGGGTAGGTGGCGGCGGGACAATTATTTTCACCGACACCCCGTGTTTCGACGGTGTCTCGATGAGGTCGGATAATCGCGGTACGCGTGAGAGCCCCTGGGATTCTGCGTGGCTCGTCGAACCGGTCGGTGGTGGTAGAGATAGGGGTAGCGCGCGACGATGGCAAACAGTCGACGACGAGGACAACGGAGGCGAGGAGCGCGAGGGGGATCCGGATGGATTTTGCAGCGCGCAGTTTTCACCTTTGAGATTCCATCCGGCGGCAGGGGTGGTGGTGGGCTGCA